CTCGTACCTGGTAAAAAATTCAGATAATGGAAAGGGTTTCTGGGAAGAGTAAGTCCCCACCCAGTCCTGTCTCACAGTCCCTTCCTGGAGGCAAACTCAGCACGCTAGCTTCTTGTGCCTCCTGCCAGAACCATCCTCTGCTCATAGAAGATTCAGTTGATGGCACCTTCTCTTCCAGCATGCATGGGAGGATGCTCTAACTCTGTCCTGGTCTCATTAACGAAATCTGGAGATCTTCATATATCAGCCCAGGTGTCACCACTTCGTTCTTTTCAATAGCTGCATAGCGTTCATTGGCTGACCAGCCACAATTTATTTCACCTGTCTGCAGCTGGCGGCCGTACAGGTCACTTCTAGTCTTTTACTGTTAATAACAAGAAGTAACACAGAAGTACGTTCAGAGGATAAATTAGTAGGAGTGGAATTTATTTTATTCTTAAGACCCTTAGTAGTGAATATTCTCCAGACTTCCTTAGTAACCCCCTCACTGTCTTTGGGGAGATGTTCTGACCTAAATCATACTTGCTAGAAAAGGAGAGCTTTTGCTTTCTGGCTTGGCTTGAAAGAAGATAAAACAGCCCCTTTCTTAATGCACTGTGTTTGGAAAGTGTTACTGAAGGATCCTTGTTCTGGCATTAGTGAGTGAGAGAACCTTAGCTTCTGTCCTTTGCGGGTCTGCATTCAGATACACAATCACACTCTTCCTTGCGTTGAGGTGATTTTTGATGTCTCCATGGATGGGCAGAGGATCTCCGGGCATGCTTTTGCTGTTTAAAGTACAACTGCCTAGAGCTTCCATATGATCCAGCAATTCCACTCCTTGGTATTTACCCAAAGGACACAGAAACATCAATTCCAAAGAGCACCTGCACCCCTATGTTTATAGCAGCACTGTTTACAATAGCTAAGCTTTGGAAACAACCCAAATGCCCAAAAATAGATGACTGGATCAAGAAGATGTGGTACATATATACCATGGAATATTACTCAGCATTCAAAAAAGATAAACACATGCAATTTGCAGCAACATGGATGGCGCTGGAAGGGATCATGCTCAGCGAAATAAGCCAAAAAGAAAAAGAAAAATACCGGATGGTCTCACTCATAGCAGGAATCTAGAAAACTTAAATAAGGGACCAGGAAAATGAATATAAGAAAGTGAAAATCAAAATCAACAAAAAACTATGAACCAGAGACACTTTCGGGGGGTGGGGGGCGGGAGGGGAAGGATTGGGGTCAGAATGGGGCGTTTGCAATTGTATGGGGGAATATAAAAATAAAATTTAATATTAAAAAAAAAAAAAAAGAAAAAAAAGAAAAAATTTGGGAAGAAGCCAGTGAGAGATGTGGCTAATAGAGAACGTAAAAAAAAAAAAAAAAAAAAAAAAAAAGTACAACTGCCTAGGACCGTGTCACATGCAAACAAGACCTCCCCAGAGCAGAGTCTGTGTCAACCTCTGGTCACCCCTTTGAATTGGAGAATGGGATGTGTAAATCCTGTTCCCAAGCATCCAACTTACCCCCAAATATTTAACAACTAGGAAGAGATTTTGGGGAGCCTGTTAGTCTCCCTGGCGCTAGTGCCTAAACAGGGTGGGGCAGGAGGTCTCAGCTGAGGCAGCTCCACCCTGAACGAGGGGCCAGGGCCCACAATGGTGGTGGGCTTCAGAGGTGCAAGGCTGCCTCCCAGCTCATCAATATAGACACATTTCTGGGTTGTAACAACCAGTGCAGCTCACAGGGCCAGGTGAGCTAGCACCGGTCTGCTTCCCTCTGGGAGGGCTTCGGAAATGTGATGTGATTTACTAAGAAGCCCACTGAATTGTGGCAGGAGAGCTGGTTTGAGTCATATCTGCACAGCCTTCAACAACACACTTTCCTTGTCTCTAAATACGGTGTTTGCACCATATAGTACCAAATGCTGCTTTTTCCTTTAAAATTTGAAGAAAAGAAATCAGAAAAAATGGTCCAGGGGATTGGGTTCCGAACTTGAACTGTTTCCCTGGCATTTCACCAGAATGATGCCTAAACTCCCCCTTCAAAATCAGCCAAAGAGGTGAATTTGGGGGAAGAATCTGAAAGAAGCAAGGTGGTTATTTGGCTTGGGCAGCATGAGGCACGTTCCTCAATTGCGGAAGGTGTTATGCAAAGGAGCGAGGTTCAAATCCTGACTTGGCTTTGTTCATATGTTCATTCATTCATTCACTCACTCCCTGAATATTGAGGAGTTTCTATTAAGTGTTGAGCTGGGTTCTGAAGATGGGATAATGAATGACCTAACATTTCTTGTTCTCTTGGATCTTGTGTTCTGGAGAAAATTGGGCAAACCACTTGACCTCTCTGGATTTAAGTCTTTCTACCTGTAAATGCTCTCGCGACTCTCCATTCCAGCGCCTCTGTTAGACAGCACTAATCAATTACAGCATGCCAAGCAGCCACAGCCAGTTACTAGAAAACAAATCTCTATCTTATCTTGGGCTAGAGGAATTCTTAAGTCCTTTCCTGCTCCCAAATCTCCTTCTGATTGTTTCTAGTTAAAAGGGGAGGCAATATTATACTGAAGGAAAATGCAGTAGCACTCCAAATCAGGGCATGGCTGAAGCTACAGATTTTGCAAGCTACAGATTTTAAAACCATCATTTTGGTTTTATTGGCTACAAAAGATAGGAGTTTTGTAGAATTATTTTGGATCTTTGGTTCTTAGATTTTCCTTCCACCGTCTCTTCTGCAAGTTCAAGTCATTTACTTTGATTCCTGGATAAGGGAGAGGCTGGTCAGCATTCACTTTGAACGCCTTTCGCTTTGGAAATCCCCTTTCTGCAGGCTCCCTTTACTGGAGTTAGGTCAGGCAGAATCAAAGTCTGCTCATTTTGTTTTTTTGTTTTTTTTTTTTTTTATTTTTTATAGAGGCATGCTTTATTTATTTGTTTGCTGGTTTGTTTGTTTATACATGCACTGGGTACAGTCAGAAGCGCGGGAGGGCGAGAGAATTCACCAGAGCCAGAGCGGGGAGCAGAGCAGGCAGAAGGACCGAAGTACACTGCTGAGGGGAGCAGCGGGCGGCAGGAGAGGTCTGCGCTCCATGTGGGACCCTCCTCTGGTGGCCGGGGAGCAGCCGGGGATCGAACCGGCGCCGCAGAGGCCGCGCGCAGCTTCGCAACCCAGCGCTCAACCGCTGCGCCACCGGGGAGGCCCAAAGTCTGCTCATTTTGATACGACTTTCTGCTACTCACTAGACGCCTCACCAGCAGTTGCTAGCAGAAGACATCCTAGGGGCTGCCGTGGCGGCCATCTGTCCCCTTATGTTCCTCTCCACACATGGAGCCAAACCAAGGTTGGACCGAGACCCCGAAGACACTCTTACTGTCTTTGCATTTCTCATCTTTCCTCCCTGCCCCATAACAGACCAGCAAGTCCAGTGTGTCCAAATTGGGCCCAAATTACAAAGAAAAAATTTAAAGCCTTTTGTTGGAATTGTGGTATCACTTCACTATTTTGGGTTTGTTAGTCTGTCGCTACCTGTAACAGCAGTTAGGTTTGTGGGCGTTGAGGAAATGTTGGCTTATTTGATCTGTTAGATATTTACACAGGGGGCAGAAATTGTGAAAAATTTACTCTTATGGTTTCCAAGGAACCAGAGGCAGCTCTCTCTATAATAAAACACTTCTCCCCACTGAGGAACAAGAACAGGGGTGCCCTGTGCTGCAGGCTGGAGCTCTTATATTTTGTGCCCATGTTGGCATTTTGTAACTTACACAGAAGCCAACTCTTCCTTCTCCGAGAAGCCCAGGAAAATAGATTATTTCCATCCATTTAATTATGGATGTTTAAACCACGGAATCTTTTAGGAAAGAGAAAAGTGATCTTTATTACTAAGTTGAGTTCAGGGAATTCTTGTGAGGGAGCTGGTAATGGGAAATAAATCCCTATTAGCTTTGTTTAAAGCAGTAAGAAATAAGTATAGGTATCATAACACTACTCTCCCTTTAAGATTTGTTATGCGCATCCCTCTATTTTGGAGTCACAGAATTTTTCCACATTTGTGAAGTAAAGTAGAAGGCTCCCTAGTTTCCAGATGTGTGGGCAAGTTTTGCTCAGTGTAACATGTTGGGAATATTGGGAAAGTCTGTACAGAAGGAAAACGAGACTATGATTTCATGAGGATGCATTCTGAAACCAAACTGCTGAATTTGAATCCCACCTCTTCTCTTATTATTCAGTCCTCTAAGACTCAGTTTTTTCCTCTGTTAAATGGGAATAATAATAGAACTATTTCATACATTATTGTGAATTTGAATGAGATTATTCCTGAAATGTGTTTCGCGTGGTGCCTGACATATTCGAAGTGTTGAACGAATGTGTTATTTTGGCAGCTGCACCACCATTTCCTCCTCAGACTGGAATAAGGATCAGAATTATATAAAGATAAGAATTATATGACTATATAGGATGAATTTATATTATGTAATACATATATTATTATTTACACACACACACACACACATATATATATAGATCTAGAGAGAGAGTGTGTTTGTGTGTGTGTGTATTTGCAGGAGTTTGGAACATAGTGTGTCTTACTGAAGCCTTAGCTGCTACTATTATCACACAAAATCAAAATGCTTTCCTGGGTATTAGAAGGGCTGCAGATCAAGTGGTTAAGCACACATAGGACCTGAGCTGAGAAATTTCGCTCTACGGCTTACTAGCTCTGTGACCTAGGGCGAATTACCTTAACTCTGCCTCAGACTTTCCAGCTGCAAAATGGGACGAATAGAATCTACTTTATAAGGTTATACTGAAAACAATGAGATGATTCAGTAAAGTGCTTAACAGGTGCCTGGCATAGAGTCAGTGTTCTAGAACTGTTTGCTGATATTTTCAGAGCATTTCGTTGAAATGTTTGATTAGAGTCAAGCAGAGGGCTCCAGGGAGAATGTGACTTGAGAAGCCATGTTTTCCCCAAAGTAACTAAGAGGCGGTTGTCTTGCTGTTTGCAGATGCTGTCACCCTCCTGAGCTTTGTCTACGCCTCCAGTGGAGAAAACACGGGAATCGTGAAGAAGATCCCCAGGTTTCAGAACCGAGAGCTGGAAGCCACCCGACACCAGCGGATAGATTACCCAGTGTAAGAACAGGCAGGGAGGGGGCAGCTGGGATCTTGCCTTTTATCTGAGGACCAGGGCAGGCAGTGGAATCCCTTTGGAGAACGCTCCTTTGCAATATGCTTTGGAAAAATGTTGAGGTCGTCCTAGTTTAGAGAGACTTGGTGGACCTAAAAGCCTCCAAGTGTTCTGGCAATATTTTTGCACTTTCAGTCCTCATTTTGCCTTAGACTTTCTAGGTTGGTCCCGGCAATGACTCAAGTTGAGGTGCATGTTGTTGGAACCCAAGGCTTTCTGGGTTTCAGGTGCAGTCAGCCACAGCCTGCCCAGATCGCAGCCTTTGCTCTGCCTTTTCTATCTTGGAAGATTGGACGAACTGCCTGAAATCGCAGAACTTCTGATCCCCTCCGTTGATTTCAGCAAAACCCAGAGATATTTTTTTCCTTCTGCTGAATTGAAGATGCCGAAAATGGTTCCTGGTTCACCTCAGACTAGATGGATTTAGCAGAGTGATTTAATTCTTCCCATGCTGCTGGCTGTAGAAAGATCTTGAGTCGCTTTACTCAGCGTATGCTCTTGCTAAGCTTCCTTGTAATAACTTATCTTCATGAGCTTGCTCAGCTGGGTGGGTCAAGGGGGAGCTGTGTGGCACCATCTGTTTGCATATCTTACTACTGATTTGGAGGCCAGATTATAAAGCCCAGAATATTCTAAAGGACTTGCTTGGATGTATCCCTAAAGAACCTGGGGTGACTGCTGCTTTAACTCAAACTGTGATTTGGTAATTGGGGGGATGAGGTGAACTCTCTGCTTGTTTTGACCTTGATTCATGTTTCACGTGCAAAATGCAGTGACTCACAGCTCCTCTTTGCACTCAGAGCTCACTAACACAATGTTTGGCCTCAAGAAAGTGTTCAGCAAATATTTGCAAAATGATCGATGGCTCACGTGGCTTGGCTAAAAGTGTCCTAGTTAACTAGACTACTGTTGTTTTATCCTCACTCCACAAATCACAGATGTACAGTATTTTTTTCCCAACCAAAATAGCCCCAGTCCAGAAATGGAACAATAAGATTAGTTGTTCCATATTGGCCGGTGAGATCTGTGATACTGAACAACCTAACGTGTACATTGAAATAGGATATATGGGTCCCAATTACCATAGAGTGATGCCATTTGCACATGATGACATTTTTCTACCTTCAGGCTTTTATCTTTGAAAGAAACAAAATTGCTCAAAAAGCCCTAATTATATTTTTTCTTCTAATCATCAAAATTACAGTAGCTTCTTATCAAATCACCTCTTATTAAAATCCAGGTTTTTATTCTATGTCTGGCTTTATAAGCCTTAATCAAGAATTCAGATGGCAGGCATGCGAGATTCTCAAAGAGGCACAGAGACAGTTTTGGTGCAAGGTAGAACGTGGGCTAGTTTTATACAATGAAGTTTAACTCCTGTCTTTGGCAGTTACTATAACTACCTCCTTTGTCTCAAAAATCAGGCTTTGCAAGCTGATCTCCCAGGATGAACATGAAGGCAAATTCATCCCTTCATTGGAAAGAAAGCAATTTACTTGGTCATTGTTCACTATAATTACCTGCTCTTGGATGATATCAATCTGCAGAATTTTTTTCCCCCTCACTCTTACAGGTTTACTCTTTCACTGTGGCTTTATTTACTCCATTATTGCAAGTCCAACCTCTGTGGGATTCTGTACTTTGTGGATTCTAATGAGATGTACGGCACACCTTCTGTATTTCTTACCGAAGAGGGTGAGTATAAAACAGAACCTGCAAAATGATACCATAATTTTCGTATGCTCTACTGGGAGATATGTCTGTCTAGAATAAGCCGATATTGTCAACACAGCAGTTTAAGGAGAGTGAAGGCTTCCAAGTGTGGGCTTCCTAGTAAACATTTTTCTGGAAGCTTAAAACAAATGTCTTATTTGCAAAGGAATGCACTTCTGTGCTTGGCTTTGTTTTTGTCTAAAGAAAGAAGGAACATGATCTAGTCTTGTAACATCTTAGGATAATCGCTGGAAAGGTGTAGTTCCTTCACCCATTACTGAGTAATTTTTGTCATTGCACAAGCTTTAATTTTTCTTCCAGGCCACTTGCATATTCAGATGCATCTTGTCAAAGGAGAAGACCTTGCTGTGAAAACGAAATTCACTGTACCCTTGAAGGAGTGGTTTCGATTGGATATCTCTTTTAATGGAGGCCAGGTACCCATTTGTATGCCCCATTAAGGATCATGTCAACTTCATCACTTCATGTTAAGCTATAAATTCAGGGAAAAAGGAGGTCTGCAAAAGCAGACTTGGCAAATGATAAACTCTTTACAACTGTACACTTTCTAAATCAAGTTTTTATGGATGGAAGTTTAAATCAAGATTCCCATCCCATTTAATTAACTTGGAAGGTGCTTCTTGTGACCATATTTGTGAGTGGGTAATAACATAACCAGTTACAGGGCCTCAGTGATCTGAGCACTTAAATCCCTTTCACCTAGTGAGATAGGCTTTGGGGAGATAAATGCTAAAATGGCATTGGCTAAGCTTATAGAGTGTAATCAGCTCTTACAACTTTTTTTTTTTTAACGGGAAATTTATTGGTTAGTTCAGCCAAGAAATGGTTTCACTGTTTTTGGCAGTTGAAACAATTGCTTGTGTTTGGCATGAAACAGACAAATAACAACCAACAAACATAAGTGATAATTCTCTGGTGGGACGGAGGGTCTTTATCTACTTTGTACTATAAAGCCCTCCACATACAGTTTTAAACTCTCATAACACAGATTTTATGGATTATGGCAAATCTGTTGTTATAATGGAAGACAATTCCATTTTTTCAATCTGTAAGATGCCAGTGGGCGGCTTTTCCCCTAGTTATCTTATTTTCTCAATAGCTCTTCTTATTGACTGTGATTTTCTAGTAACAAAACTGGAAGAGACATTTTTGTTTGTCTTGTGTATTAGATAATTCACAGACTTCCCTTGGTGTTTTAACTTGATCACATTTCCTTTTTCCGAAAAGAATCAGGTCAGTCCTGGTGGCTTCCCTGAGCACAATCTGTAAATCTTAGCTGGCGTCTTTGTTTCCTTTCAGACTCTAGGTGACATGGCTGTGGCCATGTTTTAGCTTCCTGTTGATGTAAGGACTCTGATGGCACTAGGGCTTGGCTGCTGCTTTCTCCTAAGGAGGTCATTTCCTACCTGTCATTTACACAGCTATCAAACCAACAGGCAAATCACAGATCTTATTTTGCACCTGCTGAATGCAAGGCACCATGCTCAAGGAGATTATAGACTATTTATGGCAGTCACATTAAGCAGGTGAAGGATGTCAGAAGGGGAGCTTAATTGCCAAATGATTCACATTGATTCATAGAAGGGAGACGGCGCTTCCTGCTGGGATGCTCCTAGGGCTTCCCAGGGAAAGTTCCTGCCATAGGCAGAATGGCTATAGTGGGGAGGGGGCTTGGAGCACATGAAGAGCAGGTAGCAGGAAAACTGTTTTGAAGGGAATAGGAATTTTCCCATTGTAGACGAATAATAGGAAGGAGGAAATAGTGTCTTTAGAGATCGACTGTGGAGAATCTGCGTACCAGGGAATTAGGATTTCGACTTGCAAGGCAGCAGAACGTCATGGAAAATTTTTGAGCAGAAGAAGAATAAATCAAAGTAGTTCTTTAACTTAAGAGCAGAGTACATGATCAAATAAAGCTGGAGAGAAGAATTAGGAAGACCAGATGGGGTGAAAAGAAAAAGAGCAGTAGATTTTTTTAAAGTAGATTTTTGCTATTTAACCTCTTTCTTTCCATCCCATCTGGTCTTGCTAATATACATAGGCTCCAGAACAAGCATTATCTTTCTGTATCAAATCCACCTCTGTGGCCTGCCATATTCATTAATTAAATGGACAAGTGACTTAAAGCAAGTGGTTCAGAGAAACAACTGCTTTGAATCATTTTCTGCTCTGAACCAGCCTATCACTGAATTGGGGTGGTTCTTAAACATTATTTTTGTCTTTAATAGAAACAGTCTTGTGGCCACATCTTTGAGACTCTAGAAGGATCAGACCAGCTAACCTTTCCCGAGCACTTGTTCCTTGCTAGCTCCGGGGGGAATAAAGTAGCCTTGACTTCAGGACAGGAGAGGAACATGTGTGACAGATCAAATACATTGTCACCCTTGAGCTGAGAGTGACGATTCTGGTGCGTAGCGGAAGGGTGGGAAACAGCCGCCATCTTGAAGTTCCCTCTAACACTCTCATGAAGTCAAGTAAAATTTCAAAAAGTCCTTGCAGTATCTTACACATTTCCTTACCTTACTGTGCAACATACTTTTTTTTTTTGAAGGAAAAAAAGAACAACAAACAGAAAAGCAAGACCAAAGTCCTCTTGCAATCCCTTCCCCTGCCCCCCTCCCTCTTGACCTCCTTTACTCTCGGTTCAGTTATCTGTGTCCACCATTTTATTTTTAATCCAGTTTGTCAATTCTGCTTTGTTTCCTTATATTACTCACATAGGCTTGTCTTTATGCAACAAACTTTTTTTTTTAAGCTTTATTTATTTTATTTACACAAGCACTGGGTGCAGTCAGAAGCGCGGGAGGTTGAGAGGATTCACTAGAGCCAGAGCGGGGAGCAGAACAGACAGACTGACGAAATAAACTGCTGAGGGGAGCAGCGGGCGCGGCAAGAGAGTTCTGTCACGCCATGTGGGACCCTCGCCCGGCTGCCGGGGATTGAACCGGCACTGCAGAGGCTGCGGGCAGCTTTGCAGCCCAGCGCTCAACCGCTGCGCCACCAGGAGAGGCCTTATGCAACAAACTTTTAAGCACAAATGCATCCAATGAAACTTTGGCTTGAAGTTTAGAAGTGTCTAAAACCCACTGGGGGATAATGCATCACACATGCCTTTACCAACTCAGATCACTTAGCGAAATTCAATTTCTTCAGTCTGAAAATATACACAGGATTACCAAATTACTAATTTTATTTTATTTTTTTTTGCAAACTGATCAGGTGCAAAACTGTATAACGTGTTTTGTGAATAATGTGCCCGGCACTGTATTTATGATGTGGGTTGTTGCAATTAAATGATTCTTGTATCTCTCTCCCAATGTAGATAGTAGTAACCACCAGCACTGGACAGGATTTGAAAAATTATCATAATCAGACCATTAGGTGAGTGTGATTCTTTTTTTCTCTTTAGTCATAATTTTGCTGCGTAAGAACTAAGGGGTCTTCACACCTTAGGACTCAACCCTAATTTCTTTCCACACTACCTTACTGCTTTCATGAATGGATTATAACTAGTCTTCCCAATAACCAATATTTATACTCTATTTTTTTCATACTTTGCACAAATTTTTCCTGTTTCCCCCACAATCTTTTCTCCTTACTAAGGCAGATAGATGAGTTCTCTCTCTAGATCTCATTGTAAATTCTTCTTTCCTGACACTTCATAATTTATTTTCTTTGAAAATTATCTTCTATGAAGGATTCTGAAAAATAAATCAAAGTATTAATGTTGCTTATCGAGAACGGTTGGTACCTCTGGTCTAGTATAGAACATAAAAGCAGACAGTCTTCATATTTATGTTTATCATCAAAATTCGAAATGTATGCAACTGTTGATATGGGTGTAACTTTTCATCCTGATATAACCATTCTCTGCAGGAGTTACAGAAACTGAGAATTGGGTCTCTTGCCTTCTATTCCCTATTTTTTAATTTTGCTTCTACAACCCTGTATGAGCAGTGACTTTTATAGTGGCAGAACCACAGGCAACCTTTTTTAAAAGCTCTGGGTATGTCATCATAGCTAGATTTTATATGTATATATTTATAAAATATATTTATAAAATATATATTAAAATCAAATGCTGAAGAATAAGTCTAGAGAATAGAAATGAAACTTACCAGCGTCGTATGTGTAATTTAAAAAGCATGATCCGGGATTGTTGGGATGGTTGGCTGATGGAGAGGGGTCAGTCCTCCATCCTTTCATCCCTTGACCCCACCAAGAAGAAAGCTGCCTCCCAATCAGGCTCCACTCACTCAAAGTCCCCACACAACCTGAATTAGCTTGTAAGCCAATTATTAGAGAAAAGAACGCCAAGAGGGGCAGAGATACAGGAACAGGAGCTCATACACTCTACTTTAATTTTTTTTTTTTTACCTTTCCTGTTTACATTTAAATCGAATTGATTTCTTTTAGGCTGTGAGCACATGGAATGATTCTTATTTTCATGGTCAGAGCAAAGGATTAGAGTTATGTAGGAAGGCTAAAGAAGTATTATTTCTTAGCCTGCAAGAAGGGCAGGGTGACATAAAGCTTGGAGACTGAAGCCCAAGAGCAAAGCAGAAATCTTAACATGCACCGAGTGGACTCAGACCCGTTGGTGTCATTATGTAACAGGTGGCAGCGGGATCTTCACTGAAGTTCAAGCCTGGATGTTCTCTTTGCAGAAGCAGATGATGTGTGGGCTCCATAAATTCAGGGATTACATTTCAGGGCATGAATTCTGAAATCATACTCTCCCCTTTCTTCTTTCGTCTCCAACCCCAGGAGGTTTTTGACAATAGTTTGAATTTTCATTTTCTATGCAAGGACTTCCTGTTCTCTGAAATCGCAGACGTTCTGTGATGAATCCTAGATGGAGAGATCACAGGGATGCAGAGCTGGGATAGGGTGAAGCGAAAACTCAGAAATTGTGCTAGTTTGCTAGGAATGTTGCAACAAAGTACCACAAACTGAGTGACCTACAGAACTGGAAATTACTGACTTTCTGTTCTCCTGGCTGGTGGTCCCATTAAGGTATCTGCAGAGGGCCACCCTGGTGGTGCAAGGGTTAAGATGCTACCTATGAAGCTGTCAGCAGCCTCTGCAGCAAGAGTTCGATCCCCCACCACGGAGCAACTCACATGGAGCAGCAGACCTCTCCTGACTCGCCCGCTGCTCTGCCTGTTCTGTTCCCCACTCTGTCTCTGGTGAATCCTCTCACCACCACCCCCACACCCCTCTGGCCTGTACCCCAGCTCTTGTATGCATAAATAAATAAATCATAAAAGAAAAAAAAAAGGTATCCGTAGAGGATCCCCCCAAGCGTGAGGGAAGGGTGAACTCCAGCACTCTTTCTGGCATCCTAGTTCCTTGGGCTGTGGCAGTGGAACTCCAGCCTTCACAAGTCCTCCTTCCTCTTGTCTCTTTGTCCCTTTGTCCAAATTTCCCTGGGTTATGTCTTCATTAGAAGGACACCAGTCACCCCTGTTCCAGGATGGGCTCATCCTAACTAGCTTCATTTGCCATGACCTTATTTCCAAACAGAGGTCACAGTATGAAACACTTGGGTTCAGACTTCAGTATGTGAGATAAAGGCAGAGTCAGTATGATCATATAGATTCTAGGAAGTAGGGCTGTTTTTCAGGTATTTTTACCAGTTCAATATCCCAATTAAAGACTGAAGCTATTCTGTACTTGGTAGTACAGGCAGGCCCCAAGCTCAAGAGTGCCGCTCACCATGGCCCTGCCTGTATTCCTGACACCCCCTCATTCAGTAGAACAGCTAAAGAATCAGTGCTGAGCCCACCTGGGGTTCCTCTGGTTAGGTGTTTGGAATCTCCCTTTCAACTGGGTCAAGCCAGTGAACTAAGCATCAAATATTTAGGTGATCCAAGGAAAGTCTATTAACCTTCCCTTTTATTTGTTCTTGTTATGTAAACACAATGATACCTGTTAGCCCCCAAAGGTGCTATAGGCAGGTCAGTAATTAAGTGCTAGGAAGTGCAGTGTTACACACACAGACTGTCAGGAACATTAGGTGACAGCCTCTGGCCTGCACATTGCTCATTCATTCATTCTTTCACGCATTCATTCATCCATCCAATATATATTCATTCATCGATCGCATCTACACATGCCAGACACAGTGCTGGGTCTCAGGGAATAAAATGATGAACAAAATAAATGCAGCCAGTCCCTGCCTTCATCTTGCTAAAAAATCTCCCTGGGTAGATCTTAAATACATGCACAAACACATTTAAAATTGCAAATTGTGCTGAATGCTTGGAAGAAAATGAATAGAGTGACTTGAGAGGCTACCAAGGGGGTCAGAATTATACCAGGTCCCACGCAAGTGACATTCAAGAGGAGATTTATTCAAGGGGGTAAGACAGGCAGCTAATTGGAGGCTCTAAGTTTCACTAATAAAAGAACCCCGAGCTGGTGCCATTTCCTAGTTCTGTGTGAGACTGTTTAACAATGGCGGCCATTCTCTGGGCTGCAGTCTCTGCTGTGATAAACCAGCTCACTTGCTTATGTCCAGATAAGAGTAAAGATAGTTTGCCAGTGCGTCTGAGGTTTTAAAAGGGGCTTTGGGCTTTGGAGGAGTCTAGCTCAGCTTTTATGTCAGTGATATTGATGACCATCAAACAATGTACAGTACAAAGTATTTCTTGCAATCTTCGTGGAGCCACTGAAAATTTTAGAGGAGGAAAATGTGATGGAGCCCAGGCAGGCCAGATCTCCTGTAAGTTGTATTATAATAACAAAAAACCGGAAAGTTACAGTCCCTTTCCATCGGGATTAATTAATTTATGGATTAGTTGAGAAAAATCAGTTAAAGCAAAGATCTGTTAAAAAAAAGATACTTTCCATCAACATTTATTTTCATTAAAAGAATAGAAAGGTACATTCATTTGCCAATCTTTCTAGATCAGTCCTTTCCTTTGATTACAAATCTACTGATTGGAGTTCCCTGCGGTCTTTCTTGCATAAACAGCACCCAATTTCTGTATTTTTTTTCCAAATGAGTAGAGAACAAAGACACTTGTGAAACTCTCAGCCCAAAATTCATCTAGGTTGTTTCGATATCTTTTTCCAAATCTTTACATTTGTCCTATTTCCTCAGTAATGTTCTAGGAAGCATTCTTTAGTGGGTAGGTCTTTGCAAAACATTCAACTTAATTTTTATAGACGAAATGACTGGTTCTCCCCCCTTCCATATTTTATTGGGTGATGTCGATTTAATTAAATTATATGATTACCATGACCACACAGCTGGCACAAACGGATTTAAGAATAAACACATCTTACTCTTGCTAAGCATTGCAACTTAAGCAATTCCAAAGAAACTAAGTGGACCATCACCCTCCAGGTAACACATATGTCTAAGATGGGCCAGACCCTTTGTTAAATACCAGTTTGTTTAATCCTCACAACAGCACTATAGGTAGTATCTTATTATCTTCATTTCAGAAATGAGAAAAGGCTACTGAGTAGCCTCAACCAGGGAGCCACTGAATGTTGTAGGGATCAGGTGGGCTGGGGAGTTGGTTATGTGGTGCTGTTAAGAGTTTCTACTAGAGCAGCATCGCTCCCTACCCTCCGATTGCCAGGCTCCCAGTCTTGAAAAACAGAATCAGTTCATGGGTCTTACAGAAAATAACTGTGGTCCCAAATGAAAAAAAGAATGAAAAGGTCATCATCTTCTCGACTCCAGGATTCTGAAACTATGAGGAGATGATGCACTTCTTTTTCATTTCAGTTGCATTTGGAGAAAGTGTTCACTCTCGTTTCTTGCTGCCCTCTTGGATATGGTCAGAAAGCTCTCATTTTTTTTCACCCTGTGACTTCCTCTCTGGCCCTGGGCACTGGAAGGTTGGGTCCTTGCTGACAGACAGTGCACCTCTTTCCTGAAATAACCTCAGACGGTCTGACTTCTCCAATCCAACTGCTGGAAGCCTGCTCTGTCCTCACCCCTGTCCCTCGGCCCATTGCTCTCAGCTCACTGAACTCCTGGCGGCGTGACATTTGTGTTCTTTCCTTCTGCTTGCATCTGCCCTCTATGCTCCCTGGCTCTTTCCTCTATGCCTGGCGTCTCACTTGATGCCTGTCTTGACCCCCCCCTTGCTGTTACATATGCTCTCATCACACCTTGTCTTCCCTTTCCTGTTTTAGATTCTAAGTAGGTAATGAATGCAAGTGGTTTAAAAAAGCAAGGCTGTATGAAAAGGCATACGATTCCATGCCTTGCTTTTAGCTCTGCTCCTTCCACTCCATCCTTTGCCCTGCCCTCTACGGAGAAATATTTCCATCAGCATGGGCCGATCCTCACTGAGGGACACCTGGGGCTTGTCGATCTTTGGTGCATTTAGGTGATGCTGCATGAAATAACTTGTGCATTTCATTCACGCCAACCCAATTTTCCCCTTCTTTTACCTCCCCAATCCTTCAAATCTTTCAGGACTAAGTAGACATCTAGCCCATTACCTGTGCTGACCTCTTGTCTTTGGGCTTGTGACCTCTTTCTCACTCTGAATTTGATTCAGCTCTTATCTAATAGGATATGTTTTTCGTTTTTTCCCTATACCACCTTCTCTCCATCCAGTATCATCTTTTTCCCTTTCGACCCAAGTATTTTCATTTAAGGCCAACAATACAGAATAATGCCAATGATTGCAAACGATTTCACCAGTACCAGTAACCAGCTCCTATGGGGCACGTACAGTGGTGCAGACATTCTGTTGGATCCTGGACATTACATTTTACTTAATTCTCCTCTCCAGTAAGTGAGGGACTAGCATTGTACTAAGGAGAAAACTCAGTCTCAGAGAGGTTAAGCAGCTGCCCAAGGTCACACAGCAGAACTGGGATCCTAGCCCAAGTCTGCTGTTCCTGCCGTGGTGGCATTGAGTAGAAGTCAGAGTGAATGGTGGGCAGAACTTTGGGGTACGTCAAGGAGGGTCCATGAAAGAGTCTTTTTTAAAAATTCTGTTTCAAACCCAGAGCTATGTTAATCCTCTGTGTTTGCCTCTAGCTTCCGGGAGGACTTTTATTACAATGACACCGCTGGGTACTTCATTATTGGAGGGAGCAGATATGTGGCCGGCATTGAAGGCTTTTTTGGACCCCTGAAGTACTATCGCCTTCACACTCTGCACCCTGCACAGGTGAACCCAGGGGAGGGAGATGTTTGCGGGTGCTTGTGGATGAAGGGGCATGTGGTTCAGGGGTTTGGGACCCAGTGTAAACATAAGATTTATCTAAGTTGGACCTTGTATCACTTCTGTCGTCAAACATAATTAATATTTAGGCTTTTCCCCCAGCAAACATGATAATGGATTTTTGTTAACACTTGGTTCATTTACTGCTCATAAAATGGAAACCATTTACTTCCTCTGTTTTAATAACTACTAGCTTAATTATAGAGTAGATTTTTATCAGGCTGTTGCCTATCCAGTGGTTAGGCTAATGAAAGGAGAGAATCTTAGTTATTTGGAAAAGCTGCTTTTATATGCTATTATTTAAAGTATCAGAAGAGGAGCTGCCCCAGCAAATGAGATCCTGGTTCCACCTGCTGCTTTCTTCAGGAACGTGGGGCCTCAGCTCGCCCTGGGCTGGGTTGGCCGCAACTGTCGAGACCGCAGAGGACGTTGCAAGCAGAGCCAAACCTGCTGCACGGCAGCACCCAAGACCCACCCATGCGTGGGATTGTGCACCTTGCCAGGGTACCCCCAGGAGGCCTTCATAGCACTGTTTACCATTCTTGGGAAGGAGATCTTGGGGTAACTGAGCAGGGAATGTCACTTCATCCCTATGACCCTGCAAAGTTTCTTTGCAAAGATCACGAGTTACTAGGCAAAGTCAGTTAGAAAAAATGGGGTGCCCTATGGCCCATGGTGCTTTCAGAACCACTGTTGAGAGACATGTATGACGAGAAAAAATATGAAATTTATTCATTTGTGTAGCAAATACTTGTGAGCCCCTACTATGTGCCAGGTTCTGTGCCCAGTGCTGAGGCACCTAAGAGGAATTGAGATAGTTGTTTACAAAATAGATTTTGAAAGTGACCCTCTATTTATTATGATAATCTATTTATTATGATGTAATTTAATGTAATGAACTGTACATGTGTTGCAGCATTCACATGCAGATGCATGCACTATGCATATATGATACAGATACCTGATACACACATGTAACAGAAAACCTCAAACTTTGCAGTACATTCTGGATGTTAAAAGTTTTTTTTAAATTATGCATTATGTAAAATCTACCAGGATTTGCGTGGCTGTTACGACTTTCTGTGGTTTTTATATGTTGAAATATTTCTTCACATAAATCTCTTGTCCACCAAAAGAAGTTTTACTAATATTACTAGAAATACCTACCCTTGCTATGTTCAGTGAACTCTGAGAACTTGTGTTCTGCTTTATTAAAAAAAAAAAAATGACAGCTGGTTATCACCCACTGAGGTCATGATGATCCTCTGAGGGCCTCACTCTGCCCTCAGGGAAGGCCTCTGCCCTCAGGTGCTTCCGGCCTGGGTGTGAAACCTCAGTCATGAAGGAACCCGGTACCGCTTTGATTCAAAGGGGAGCATATTTTTGGGAGCTGGGACGGGATCGTCCTCCTGGGCTCATGCTGACCGAGGGGTGGGCTATTAGGGAACCACTCAGAGCCGTGACCTTGGATCTGACTCTGGGAAGCTGAGGAGGAGCCTGACAAGCTGAAGAAAATGGGCAGGGTGCTCAGGCGGGGATGGGCAGGGGGGACAGTGATGGTAACTGTGGGGTTCCCTTGGGAACTGAAGGGGAATGGGCCTGGTTTTCTGGAGACAAGCATGCAGGGCTGGAGAGAGAGAGGATACAGGCCTGGTCTCTGGGGAATCTGGGGAAGCTCTGAAGAGAAAATGTCTCCAGAAGAAGCTAGAGGGACGTGGAGGAGCTGTGTGTTCTGGAATTATTAGCACAGCCGTCCCCTTACCTGCGCTTTCGCTTTCCCTGGTTTTAGTAATATGAGGTCAACTTTGACCCAGAAAGATTAGGTCCATATGATATTTTGAGAGAGAGAGAGAGAACAAGAGAAAGAGACTGCAATCATTTATATTTTATTACACTGTCTTGCTATAATCGCTATTTTATTATTAGTTATTGTTGTCAGTAACTGCCTAAATTATAAATAAACTTTATCGTAGATACGTATTTTCAGGACAAGACACTGTATGTGTAGGGTTTGGTATTATCTATGATTTCAGGCATCCACGGGGGTCTTGGAAGGTAGCCCCTGCATGTGAGGGGGACTTGCTCTGCAGCTCTGTGTGCAAACTAGTCACCCGGTGGTATGGGTGGTAGAAGGACATCAGCACAGAAATACCCTCATGGATGTGGGTGGGTGTTTGGTGACAATTGTTCATTTGATTTTCTTGCCTTTGTGTAGATTTTCAACCCCCTTCTCGAGAAGCAAGTAGCTGAACAAATCCAGTTCTATTACAACCGGTGTGCACAGGTTCAAGAGATAGTGTCCGTCTACTTGTCTGAGGTCCAGCAAGGGGGACAAGAAGCATGTAAGTGTCGCGTTCGGGAGAGCCGTGTGCAGCTCAGTGCATTCACAGCAACTCGTGAATAGGCCGGCTCTGACGTGACCCAGGGGGACACACATGGGTGTAAGTGAAGGTGCAGCCAGGCCAACAGGCAGCCAGAACCCGAACCTGCCTCATTGCTTTATCCACATGTAATTTAGCTTAAGAATACAAATGAGAGTGCTCTGCGCTTCTCGTTGCATTATTCCCATCCATAATGAGCTCTAGGGCTGGTCTAAGAAAATAAAAATGAATTGGAAAATAAATTAATCATTAGAAATGTTTCCCCGTCGGTGCATTTTTCTCTTGGCCCATTAATATCTGAATATTAGCTTTCAGAAATGTTGAGCAATGACTTTGTTATTTGGGGCTTGGTTGTATTTTTCGAATCCTTGAACTTGGCTCGTTCTGGAAGCCATGGGTAATTTCAACAGAAGGAATGAATTTCACATGACATTTTCTTGCCTGCTAGTCTGCACAGTTTTCTCTCAGCCTGGGTGTTTATCGGTTATAAACTTGGTCCTATCTTCCATCCCAATGTTCCAGCTTGGATCTAGCACATATACATTTCTCTGAGCTCAAGATCTTCCTCTTTGATATGGACGCACTAGAATGAGTCACATATGTTCCTTCTGGAAGAAAAATTCCCAGGGGGCCTTTGCCATCAGCAAAAGCAAATTGAATATTTCAGTGCCGCCTATTTATCTTCCCGCTGCCAGAGCTTGAACTTCCCACTTCAGGCCATGGGGATTTGGATGCATCTTGAACATACCCAGACCGATAGGGTTCACATAAATGCTCCCAGGAAGTGATTAGAGACCATCATAAGTAAGTGTAGAAAGGCAGCACTTCTACAATTCAATTTAAGGATAGGCTATACTGGTCCCCAGCTGCTGCTTTCACCGCTGAATCATCCAGAAAATACGAGGCTGTCAGGAGAGGGGGAGGATATATACGAATAGTCATATCCCAAACAGGAAAGAAACTGATTTTGATAACTGATGTCATTTTAGGACCGATATCCTGAGTTGGAAGGCCCAGCCTTGCATGCTGATCTGCTTGGTAGCTTTGGGGAGATTTTCCTAACCTCTTCTATTGCCTTATCTCCCTGGGGGTCCTTGTGCTTTGCTCCTGACACTGCCAACAAAATGGCCTAGATTTTGGCCTCCTGGGGGCCAGTCCAAGGCCAGCTGCTCGTTCTGTAGAATTATTCAACAGCTATCAGCAACTTTGGCACATTTCCCTTGGACTTGGCTTTCAATTTGTGACCTCAAGGCAAAGGCATCGTGGCCAATTTCAAATCCCTAATGCACCAAACCAACATCGAGTAATGTTAAGTCTGACCTCTTATTTCTATTTCCTCTTGGGAGGAAGGGACTGGGAGGGGTGAGCCTTTCCTTCTCCTAAGCGGTGTGCTCTGGGCTTCCTTTCCTGTAGGCGACCCCCAGAACTCCTACCTGCACCTGAAGCGTAGGTATGGCCGACTCCCCACCTGCAGAGCCTTTCCCTGGGAGAAGGAACTTAAGGATCAGCACCCCAGTTTGTTCCAGACCTTGCTGGAGACACCCGTCTTGACAGGTGAGTTGGTCTTTGCCTCGCTTTTGGATGCTGATCAGGGAGACCCCCTGTTCTTCCACTGTTTCACTCACCTTCTTTGCTGATTTATGCCTTGAAGTTATTTTTAATCCTAGTGTTCTAGCATAATTTCAAATTTAAATTCTGCCCTTGTGTGTCCACAACTCTCAATATATCTGTGCACATTTCCAACTCTAAATGCAAAAACTTAAATTTAGGAATCTCTCAGGCAGTTCTTTATTTCAAGCCAAGGCCACAGGCTGAGGGGCTGGAGCCAGAGCTGGCCCCCAGATACAGCTGGTTAGGCACACACAATGTGGTCAGTTGAAAAAAAAATTGAGTTACCAGAATCAAAATACTTGTGTAAAAATGCAGCTCTTCTAGTTTTTCTCGAAAAATCCAAAGATCTGGCAATGCAAGGCTACCCTTCCTTCTTGGCAACAATCTTGGTTGGCACAGGCACACGCTGTCCATCCACAGCCCCATTTCTCTCTCTTCATCACCTGCCTGCTTCATGCACCTTCATCTCACCTGCCTGCGTCCTTAGATACCTTGAGACCCCTGATTTGCAATACTTCTAAGCAACATCTCAGAATCTGTGCATACTTTCCCAGAGTCACCAGCTTCTCCTTAGACCCAAGATTTGGGTTTGCTTAGTAATTAAGTTCCCTCTGGAGAGCCACAAGGGATCTGGAAACCATGTCTGTTAGGAAGAGGCGAGAATATGGGGATGCTCTCCCTGGAGAAAGGGCTTTCAAGAGGGACAAGGGCTACTCTCCTTGTGGTCAGAGACAATCCATGGTATTCCTCAACATATAGCCAAACCCTTGAATCAAAACTTTGCAGAAACTGATTTCTGCTTCATTTAAGAACCCCCAGGATGGAAGAATCCAATGGAATAGATTTCCTTTGCAGATGGTCAACCCACCACCCTAAAAGAATTCTGAAAGAATTCAAGCCATACAGAATATTTCAGCATTCTTTCATTTGCTACTTGCCGAGTGACTACACAGTTACTCAGCTAGATTTCAGAGAGAGGTAAAACAGACTCCCTGCCCTTGAGGGACAAACTTGAAAGCAAAGGAAAATGGTCATGTATTTTAATAAAGGTTGTGAAAGTAAATGATGGAGGCAGAGATAAAGGAGTGGTCAGTTCCTCCTGGAGATCTGAAGCATTCACGGAAGGCTTCCTGGAGGAGGTGACAAGGTGATTCTTGAAGGGTCAGTAGGTGTTTTCCAGATAAGCAAGGTATGTATGGTACTGCCAGCAGAGTAGAAGTGAGGAGGTGGTAGCAGCACAGAGATTTTAATGATGGCAAAGAATTTGGGAAGCAGAAGAAGGCCTGGAGACTGGCGATTCCAACTAGCACTCATACCACCCTGAAGAGTTTGGGTTTTACTTATAGGTGACAGGAACCTGTTGAAGGGTTTCTAGCAGGGGCAGAGGCATGGTCTTATTTGGGTTACCGAGGTTACTCTGGCAGCAGTGGGATGTTGGGGAAGGTGAATTAGAGGGGTGTGGCGCTGGGAGCAGGAGGTCTGCTGCCATGATTCAGAGAGGAGAGAATGCAGGCCAGAGTGGAGACAGGGCTAAAGGTTGTAAGGAGCTTGGCTCGGAAGATGCCCTGACTATGTGGGCTTGTGCAAGGAGGGCACTGAGCAGGGAGGAGGCCTTCTGGAGCTGTGACAGCACATCTGAGCCAGGTAGGCTGGTTCCTATTTTAACTGAGCATTTACAGACTGTGTGATCTCGGACAAGCTACTTCATCTCTCTGTGCTTCAACATTCTCATCTGCAAAATGTCGATAACCGGTTATACCTCTCTCCCAGTGATGGGTTAAATGAATTTAGAAATATGTAAAACATTATGTTATATACAATATATAGTAATCATTACATAAATATGTGTATTGTGTTGATAATAAATATATGTATATAATATGTACTATGCATAAGATAAATATTATAAGTTATATGTTTAGTTAATATAAATATGAACTAGATATTTGTATAGAGAACCTAGAAATGGTATCAGTGCAGAGCAAGTTCTGTGGGAGAGCATTTCTCAATCTTTGCGCTCATGGCATTTTGGACTTGGCTGTTCCTCGTTGCGAGGGGTCTGTCCTGTACATTTTAGGAAGTAGAGCAGTATTTCTGGTCTCTACCCCCTAGGCACCAGCAACATGCCCTCGCCTTTCAGCACCCCCTTGTCTAGGTGTGACAACCCAAAATGTCTCCAGACATTGTCACGTGTCCCCGAGGAGGAAAAGTCGCCTCCCTTGAGAACCATCCTAGATCAGAGCTCTGCTATTATTACCGAGCAGTGACACCTCTCGAGGGTGGTCTGGGAGCAGGTGGGTTTCCCGGTCAGAACAGGTGGCCAGGGGAGGGAAATGCTTGTTGGATCTTTTCGCCTAAGTGGGTTAGGACCGTCTCTGGGTCAAAACTGGGCTTGTGAGATTCCTGATCATATTTAAATATAGTTTGCTGATTGGGAACAGGAGTGAATCATTTTTCACAAAAACATTCTTTTTTTAAGTAAATACTCTCAAGAATGCTCTCATGCTATTTTTACATCTCAGGAGGTTTTTTTTTTAATCTTTTTTTGTGAAGTACCATTGTTTTACATCCTTGTTAATTTTTTGACATTATGGGATTTCTCCCCTCAAGTGTGATCACCGTAGCTCTCCCACCAACAAAGCAGCCAGGATCCTCTGCTGTGGTCCACTGGGCTCGCCCTCCACCCCGGTGTCCGCCCTCTCCCCTCCCCACAGCCCCACCCAAGGCCTCGGATCTGTGATCAGCTCTCAAGGGTTGGTTTTAAAGTTTATCATTGCCTGACCTTTGTTTGGTTTCAGAAGTCTTATTTATCAGAATTTAGAATTATTTTCATTTCTATGGAAGCCTGGGAGTAGAATCTGATTGAAAACCCTAATCCAAGCTCCAGAATCATGACTTCCAGGACGATTCTGTCACTGTGCAGAGACACGTACTGTGGCCCCTATTAGACATCCTGGCCAGCCGTGCCAGGAGAGAAGCCCCCAAAGCTGGGTTGGCAACTTCAGGACCCATTGCTGGTGCCCAACGAGACAGTCAGGTCCTCCTGGTGCCAAGTCTGCTTGGAATAGTGCTGAAGAGCCTGCCCCAGACTGCACCTGCCTCTGGCTGCTGCCTCCTGTGGGGCACAGCGCCCTGCGTTCCTCCTGCCTGGGCTTTGTATGCAGGGTGGAGAGAGAGAAGTAAGAGCAGGAGAGAGTAAGAGCAGGTGGGAGAGTGAGAAGGAGTCTCCAGAACCAACCTCAAGTCCTATTCTGCCTTCAGCCCCCGTTTTTCTAGGTTACGTTGTTCCATCCATAAGGACCGGGCAGGCTTCTGCAGAGGTAGGGCATCCACTCATTAAAATTCGTCCCTTCCTGGCACACTGCCCTCGCTCGAGGCTATCATAGCGTCCTCCCGCTCTTCCTGGGGAGGGATTGGTGTCATCCATCGCGCCCCGTCTCTAACACGAGGCCGGGTGAAATGCAGAAAATTTAATTTTGTAAATTGAAGGTTAAAAATACAAGTTAACATTCTTAACTTAGCTTAGTGGAGACTCTGACTTCCATAAAAAGCATCGTGCTGGAGCCAGTGTGATTGTAGCCAGGCCTGCCTCCTCATCCACCCTTTCTCCCAAGTCCATCTTGCTGTGAGTCTGTAGCTGATTTTGAAGATCTGTGGACAAGTCTAATTAATAGGAACTAGGCTTGCATTATGTTTCCTGCTGCTACCCTAAGCTGTCCCGACCTGCTGACAGGTAGACCTTCTTCGGCCCTCCTCAGCACATTACCTTTCTCATATCTGAGATAAGCTACAAGAACGGACTCAGGGACCAGATGTTTAATGCTCGCCATTCTTGCTGTAAGAACTGATTGGGTGGAGTAACCAAGATAAGGAAGTTAGCTGTGTGAGTAACTTCTGAACGTCACTCATATCACAGCCTCCTATTCATTTGCCAAACGAGTATTGACAAGTTCCCCGTGTGCCAGACTAGCACAAAAACCAAGAGTCAGACTAGCCTAGACTAAAGGTCAAGAAAAACCCCAGCTTCACAGTTTGCACAAAGAGAATTAATTTGTAGAATTACTTGCCCCCCTGGCATATAAAAAAGATTAAGATGGCATGAGACAGTAGATTGATGCCCGGTTCTTTCTGAGAGTTGTCTCCCTCGTTTGATGCCTGCACTTCCAAGCTGCTATACCCGCACATTTCAGACTTGAGTGTCGTCCCCACATTGTGTGACTATAGATGGATCGTCTGCTCTCGCTCTCAGCCAACAACACTCCTCAGAGGAGCGATGAGAGCTTTGCAGGGGGTGGAGTTTGGCTTCATTAACAAGGGATAAGAAGGCATGGGAAGCAGTTACCTTCTAGTTGTACCCAAAAGATTGAGCTGTGTCTTGCTTCTGCAAAAGAGGAGCACCAAGTATTTACACCCTCATCCTTTAAAAAAAAAAACTGTTAAATGCAGGTTTACAATGCTGTGTAAGGTTTAGGAGTACAGCTTCACCTCTTGTCATATATATGAGCCCACATCATGTCCACCACCAATGTTCTGGCTGCGAGTCACTACCGTCCAGTTGGCCCCCCTACCCCTTCCTCCTACTCCCACCCCTCCGGTAGCCACCATTGTTTAAGTCCCCCCCTTTAAGGATTGCAATTAAAACAAAAATTGTGGTAAATGACACACCTTCAAAGCCCCTATCTTAACCGTTTTTATGTGTCCCCTTCAGTAGTATTAAACACACTCAAATCATTGGCACATCTCTAGCGCCTTCTCATAATCCAAAATGGAAACTGTATTCAACTACTGCCCAAGCCCTCTCCCACTGCCCCACCCCCGGCCTTGGCAACCACCAGGATACTTTCTGTCTCTATAAATTTGGCAGCTCTAGATACCTTGTGTAAATGGGATTTTACACCATTTGTCCTTTTGTGACTGGCTTATTTCCCTCAGCATGTTCTGAA